TTTAATGATGGGAGGGCCTCAAGGTCAACCTCACCATGTCACTCCGTTGACCAGGGTGTACAACTGGTCATTGACATTACTACGCGATAAAACAGACGCTTTGCGTCTCGCAGCCGCCATCTGGCGCCGCTGTCGTCTCATTGATGAGACCGTACTCTTCAAAGTACTTGGGATATTATCATCCCCAAGGTCAACAGACCCCTTGTCGTTTACTTGCCCTATGCGAGGGCCGATGTCATTACCGACACACAGTGGGTCACTAGTACCAGTGACTTCACTAACAAGGTCATCGACCTTCACTTGCTCTATACGAGAGCCGATGTCATTATCGACATCCAGTGAATAGCATTTACAGCCAATATCACTAACAAGGTCATCGACCTTTACTTGCTCTATACGAGAGCCGATGTCATTACCGACATCCAGTGAATTGCATTTACAGCCAATATCACTAACAAGGTCATCGACCTTTACTTGCTCTATACGAGAGCCGATGTCATTACCGACATCCAGTGAATTGCATTTACAGCCAATATCACTAACAAGGTCATCGACCTTCACTTGCTCTATACGAGAGCCGATGTCATTACCGACATCCAGTAAATCGCATTTACAGCCAATATTACTAACAAGGTCATCGACCTTAACTTGCTCTATACGAGAGCCGATGTCATTACCGACATCCAGTGTCTCCATATTACTTTGAGTATCACTCAACGGAGTACGTGCCGTTCCACTAAGTGTCATTGAGCTCTGCTCGACACTATTATTGTTGACATCGGAGTTTATCAACTCAGACACTCCAATGTCCAGCACACTAACTGAATCAGTTAATGGCTCGCGCCAATAGCACTTTTGTTTTCTAGCGAAGGTGGGTTCATGACTCTCCAAAGCTTCGCTAGGAACATTGCGCGTTGCGCCTAAAGTTTTGGATCTCCAATCGATCCACGGCTCATGGCGTTCCAGCCAGGCCATACCGAGAATGAGATCATATCTCGAGTACAAATCTAGGACAAGACAGCGTTCAACGCTGTTGAAGTCTAAGAACTTCACACCTAAGTTCAACGGAACTTTAGGAACGGTGACACGTACACCTGTTGCGAGGCGCACGGTTATACTGTCACCCTCTTGCGCTTCTAGCGCCTCAGCGTACAGCTGACTCCCTTCAAGGGAACGACGTCGGACATAATTACCTGACGCCCCTGAGTCAATTAAAATTAACCATGGTTTCTCAAAACCCTTAACGGTTGCCGACACAACCAACAAGCCTGGCTTGTAACCTTTTTCTATGGAAGCATTCACAGAACCACCTGGGGCTAAGCCCTGTTTAACTTTACCTCCTAAATATTTAACAGAACTTAGTTCTTTCCCAGTAGGGCGCCCCGCGCCTACTGGGAGTTGACGTTTTCCCCTGCGGTGCTCGCCTTTTAGCTAGGAGCAGGGTTTCGGCTCTGCCGATTTGAACGTTGCTTTCGCAACGGACAGCTAGGGCGGAGATGCCTATTGCTTCCGCACATGTAACATCTACGGATTTTACCTTGCTGCTCAGCAGCTTGAAGCTCAGCTTCTTCAGCATGGCTGAGGTCCATGGGTTCCGCCCTGTTAGAGGTATTTGATTGATACCATGGCAGACCATATCGAGTAGATTTGAAAATTATTCAGCGTTAAACGCTATGCTTACTACCTCTTCGAAAGTCGAAGTCTGGACACGGAAAACTTCCGTTCTGGCGACCCCAGTGCGAAGACCTTCCATAAAAATGGTTACTCGGACTTCCTCTGCCAGTGGGTCCTGCTGCATAGCAGCAATGAGAGTTCTCAACTCTTGGACATAGTCCGACAATTCTTTCTTACCCTGTCGGGTAGCTAGGAAGCGTGAGCGCACACGATATGCCTGATTAGGCGGTGCAAACACGCAAGTTAATTGCTTTTTAAGTATTTCCCACGTGGGAAATGCGGCATTTACAGAGACATCGCTCGTTAGAGCCCACTCTCTAGCTCTTCCACCGAGCTTAGAAATGGCCAGACCAACTCTTTGCTTATCTTACACAAGCATGGCGGCATCCATTGCCATTTCAACTTCTCGGATACAGAGGAGAAGATTTTCTCCCTCCTTTCCCTCAAAGGTCTTTACGTTTAAAACGAGTGGGCGAGCTTTTGGCTCTGCATCGGGCACAGGTACCGGGATTTACTGTGTAGGCGCAGCTGACGCTGCCTGGTCATGGACCTGCCCGAGGAGCGTTGCTTCATAACGCATAAAGGCCTCAAGACGAGCATTTAGAACCTCGGGGCCTTGGGCCAAAAGGCCTCGATCTGATCGGGCCCGACGAACGCAGATAGTTTATCTAGACGAGTCGTTGTGCCTCAGAGAGGTTATTTTGATTCTCCATTCTCACAGAGGGTCAGTCTTTAAAGACTCAGGTGTAGGATTGACTACAAGTGCTACCAAGTGTAGCGGAGCTGCACAGCTCTTTAGCCAGAGGAAGACTTTTGGATGGAAGCCTCTTAGTTCTAGAGAACTAAATAGAGTTAAGGCTAAAAGCCACTTAGTTCTAAGGAACTAATTAAACGACTTAAAGTCACCCTGTTCTAAGGAACTAGGAAAGAGACTTTTAGTCAATTAAGCAATATGCTTAAGGTTCAGAGAACCAACGCACAGAGTGCAAGAAAAAACTAGAAGATTAGGGGTTCAGAGAACCAACGCACGAAGTGCACAAGAGAACAAGTCAGAACGACTTGCGATCTTAAACTCAAAAGGAGAACTGATTATATTTATGCTTTAAGATTTTATGAATAGTCCTACTCTAAGTACACTACACTAGATTAATTACTATAATAGTAATTATTATATGCAGACTTTGCTATTGGACGATGTATCGTCTAAACATCTGTGTATGATGTACTCAATGCAGCGTTAGTGATTTATCGAATCCCAATCGATAAGATACGGTATTACCGAATACCGTATTATAACGCTCATACTTAATACCTCTCTAAAGAGAAGTATAATAATGCATTATATGCAATAGAAAGGAGAGTTTAAGCGTAAACTCTCGGAAAGACGCTACAACCGTCGTGTAACCCCGTTACATAGGGTGTGTGCCCGTCGCTCCGACAAATAATACGGCGAATCCTACGCTGATAGTATATTGTCCCATTCAGGGTTTTCACCCGTCGGAACGACCGACATGGTTTATGCTATTATTAATACATATATAGGGGTGTTCCCGTCGTTTCGACCGATAGGTGCACAAATTTGACGCTGATCGTAGGTGCACTGATCGTATATTGACTTTGGTGATTGATTAGTTCTAAGTGTAATGTGTATGAAGGTCAATGTATACCTGTCGTTTCGAAAGTTATGGTGTTCACCCGTCGTTTCGACGAACATGGTCTGCCTTTTGACCTGTAAACTCATCATTTAACGTTAGATAATTAGATTGACTCAGGGTATAGATAAATATGAAGGCAACGTGTACTCGACGTTTCGTAAAACTTTTATATGATCACCCGTCGTTCCAACGGTACGAAGTTGTATATACAGGCTTTGTAAGCGCAACAATCTGCTAGGATGTTTACCCGTCGTTCCGACGGTGTATATTCGATTATATAGGCATCATAAGCGCAGTGATTTGCTTGAGTATTCACCCATTGGACATGCGTGCATAAATTACGCTAATAGTATATGGGCAACTTTAACGCAGCGTTTCGTCAGGGCATTCACCGGTCGTTCCGACAGTGCGAAGTAGTATATATATGCATCATTTAATTGATAAATCGGGTCGGCTAAGGTTAATAGTGATGGGTATGAAACTCAATGTGTACCCTTCGTTCCGTGCATTCTTTCTTTAATGATATAGCATGATATAGCATGATGGACGGAGTTATTATGAAGATTTTACTGTACAAATTTTAGTCATGGTACCCCTTTCTATAAATGGATGTCCGACGAAATTTATTGCTATACCTGATACATATTACTAATTAAAAACTAAAAATTAAAAGATGAAAATAGGCTTACGTTTATGCAAATAAGTAGTTGTGTTCATCCGACGTTGCGACGGAAAGGTCCGAGCGAACCATAAATATAAGTAAATTAAATGGAAAGGACCGAATGTTGGTGTGTCAATAAGCTTTTTTCATGCTACTTTCAGATTATATGCAGCTTTTTGAAACTAAGGTTTAGGATCTTAGTCCGTCATTCCGACATATGGGTGCGCAAATTTAAGCTGATAGCATATTGGCCCACCATTTTACCTTATTATACATCCAGTTTACTAAGGTAAATTAATATAGTTGATAGTGAATGTCTAAGAAGAGCAAATTGTACCTGTCGTTCCAATGGTCAATTTGTACCCGTCGTTCCGACGGACACGGTGCACGAAGCCTGCTTTTGACATTCGTACCCATCTTTTTATTTTACAACATCTGGTTGGTTTAGGAATCTAAATGAGTAAGACACAATACATATGGTTCACTTCACTTATTGTAACTGATTCCAATTCAACCTGATGATAACGCTTGATTTTGCCAATGTCAAGGTATAAAAGGTATTTGAGGACTTAGCATTTGTGGACTGAGCCCATGTTTTAATAAAGAAAATTTAAGAATGTGTCTTATTTATTACTATTAAAAGCTGCGTTTGATATTGCATATATAGTGATGAATATGAACACGTATGTGTGCCATCGTTTCGTATATTATTGTTATAGATTGAAGCACGACAAATTTATTCTCTGATATGGATATCTGCACATGTAGTAATAGTGCAAAATGCAGAATAGGCCATTGCAAAATGAGCCAAAAATGCAAAATCAGCCAATCCGAATGCCGGAAAAGGATCAAACGGACGGACGGACAGTATTCTTTTATTATACAGAAGATTATATAGATTTGAGCAATTGACAGAGAAAGACGACTTTATCTGACACTAGTTTTGAAAAAGTACAAAACAATAACATTTGTTAGTCAATCGATTGCCACCACACACTGTCAACTACATCATGCTGCGTCATGTGTCGTCTGCGTCAGTGCGACTGTGCACTCAGCATCTACACCATACCAGTTGCCGTAGCTTCTCATCGATTTTAAAGAGGGGTGACGGTTGCAAGTCTCTGCAGGTGGGCGAAATGTATCACAACTTTACGTTAGAGCGAGTGGCGACTGTACCCGAGTACGGCGTGGACGCTCTAGAGCTGCGCCATGAGCCAACAAAGGCTAAGTATTTGCATCTTGACGCCAAAGATCCTAACAACGTCTTTGCTATTATGTTTCGATCGCCGCCCAATAACTCGACGGGTGTCGCGCATATTTTGGAACACACGACGTTGTGTGGATCCAAGCGCTTCCCCGTGCGCGACCCGTTCTTTAACATGATTAAACGCAGTCTTAACACATACATGAACGCTCTCACAGGTGCAGATCACACCATGTACCCGTTCTCGACTACCAACGCTAAGGACTGGCGCAATCTTATGAGTGTGTATCTGGACGCAGTCTTCTTCCCTAACTTGTCAAAGCTCGATTTCTTGCAGGAGGGACATCGACTTGAAATCAATGAAAAAAAGGATGGAGAAGGACAGCTTATGTATAAGGGAGTCGTGCTGAATGAGATGAAAGGAGTACTCTCGGACAGTAACAACCTCTTCGGTACGCGATTGCAACAGGAACTCATGCAAGGCAGTATCTACGAACATGTAAGTGGAGGCGACCCAAAGCATATTCCATCTCTTACGTATGAAGACCTCCGTGACTTTCACAATAAGAATTATCACCCGTCCAACTGCTGCTTTTACTCCTACGGTGACTTGTCACTTACGGATCACCTGGCTTATCTCGACCACGAGATCCTTAATAAGTTTGACTACCACGCTGAATCGGCGGCCATTAAAGTAGACACGGAGGGATTTAATTTGTACAAGACAAACTCGACAAATTCGGAGTTGATTGTTATTGATGGTCCTAGCAGCAACATGACCAGTGATGCTGCTGATCCCAACACGAAGTATTGTATGAGCAAGTTTGTCGACGTGAAGTCTACAGACCCTTTCTCGACCTTTGTGTTGCGAATCGTGAGCTATTTGCTGACAAATGGACCGGCGTCTCCATTGTATAAAGCACTGATCGACTCTAATATTGCACAAGACTTTTCAGTTGGTACGGGATTCGACACATCCACGTACTACCCTACGTTCGGTGTTGGTGTAGAGGGTATTGAAGGTGGAGAAGCTGCAGTGCCTGCTATTCGCATAGCTGTGCACAACGCGTTAAAGAGAGTGGTTGCTGATGGCTTTGAGAAAGAACGAGTGGACGGACTTCTACATCAATTAGAGTTAAGTCTCAAGCATGTGACGGGAAACTTTGGGCTGCAGCTTATGCACGGCATAAGCTCCGTCTGGACTCATGGAGGAGACCTTCTTGAGAACTTGCAGCTGAATCCTTTACTAAAGCGTCTGGACGTCGAAATGGCTCGCGAACCGAAATTCCTTGAAAGTTACGTGCGGGATTACCTCATGCGCGATAATCTGCGCGAAGTCCAGATGCTTATGCTTCCTTCTGAGACTTTTGTGCGCGATCAGGAACGCCGCGAACAGGAGAACCTGGCTGCTACACTCATGCAGCTGTCCAACGCTGACCTAGACCGTATCGCGCAGACCGCAAAGGAGCTTAAGCGATATCAGCAGAAGAAACAGCCTGTGGAATGTCTGCCCACACTAAATCTGAATGACATTCCGCGCATTGAAGAAGGCAATTTTGACCATATCGACAAAACACAGCTTATCTCGACATTGGCGGAATTTGTGCGCGTACCTTCTACCAACGAAATTACGTACTTGCGCCTTCTTTTTGATCTGGGAGCGCTGCCACAAGCGTACCATCGATACATAAACGTTTTTACGACAGTGTTTGGATCTCTGGGCACCTCGCGCTACGCTTACGATGAGCTTCCCACGATTATTTCAAACTGCAGCGGAGGCGTATCGTGCTCAGTAATGACGGCCCCATCGCTCACGGATGTTTTTGGTGAGCCCAGCGAACAATCACTTTTGCTGGAGACAATGTGTCTGCCTTACAAAGTGGACCAAACGCTAAGTCTTTTGCACGAAGTACTCACTGACACACAGTTTTCTAGTGAAGAAAACCTGCGCCAGCTGCGTCTTCTTTTGCAGAGTAGCGCATCTAGCGCTAGCAGCAGCATTTCGTCATCCGGCGCTGCCCTAGCTGCGACACGCTCACGTGTTGGTCTCTCTCCTGCAGGTATGTACGACGAGTTATACAGCGGTTTAACGCAGATTGAGCAGCTCCAAAGCTGGGCACAGTGCTCCAATGATGAGCTGCATCAGATTGCCTGTGTACTACAGGACATCGCGCGCATAGTGTTTTCACCCGCGAATCTGCGCCTGTCTGTTGTGACGGAGGACAAGCTTCGTTCTCAGGTAGAGCAATCCTTGGCGTCCAAACTTCTCCAGCCACTGGCTGGATCGATATCGATGGCAGACGCTGCGTCGCTAACGCTTGTAAACGAAGAGCTCAAGTTGCCTAGTGTGTCGACCAAGGACTATTTTGCCTTCCCCGTCTCGGTTAACTTTGTAGTGGAGACGCAGCCGTCTGTGTCATTTGCACACGAGGATCACGTACCGCTCACTGTGCTGGCACAAATTATGTCGTCGTGTTATCTGCACCAGCATGTACGTGAGCAGGGCGGAGCCTACGGATCCGGCGTCTCTCAGAATGAGGGTTCCTTTTCGATGAGCTCTCATTACGACCCGAACACGTTCAAGACGCTTGACGCTTATGACGGTGCACGTCAATGGGTTGTCAATGAAGAGTTTTCGAACCGTGACGTGCAGGAAGCGCTGCTGTCGGTGTTTGCTAATGTTGACGCCCCAAAGACTCCGTCCATTAGGGGCCGAATGAGCTTCTTGCGTGGTATTACCAACGATATGCGCCAACGCCGCCGTGAACAGTACCTGTCATTGACGCGCCAAGACCTTGTTGATGTTGCGCGCAAGTACTTTCAAGAAGACACGCCTGATACACGCACTGTTATTATCGGCAAGGATGGCGACGATCTTTACGAGTTCTCGGACAAGGGTTTCAACGTGCAGCGCTTTGCTTCTACAACTTCGTTAGTCAAATAGCATGGATAGGCCGAATAGCCACGCAACCACGAGGCATCCGTACTGTAGCAATGTAATATCAAAAACACGACTCAAACATAACTATGTATTCGTCAGCTTGCCACGTCTGGCTACGCCTTCCGTTAGTTGTGGGTGGTACATGCACGTTCGTCTTCGTTTGTCTGGTTATGTCACTTAGTAATTGTTATTGTTCTCGTCTTCGCCCGAGATCGTACGGCAAATGGGACAGTCAAAGCGAGTGCGGTACCACTCGTTTATGCAGTGCTCGTGGAAAAAGTGTCCGCATGGCGAAAGCACGAGCTGGTTGCCGTCGAGCTCGGCCCATTCGCAGAGACATATAGGACAGGAGTCTGAGTCCACATGGACATCGCGTGGGTCAACGTACTTGAGCTGCCGGATGGATCGGACATGCTGCCGCTCGTGATCGAGCGGAAAGTGCAAAAACTCCTTAACCAGAAATCGCGTGGACGCAATTTCATTGCATACTTCCACCTCCTGCTCGGCAGAAAGGTACTCGCAAAGAGCGACAATGAACTCCTCAAGTCCGGCTGTTCGTCTGCCTACAAGGGCCGATGGGTCTTTAAACATGACAATGCGACGAGGAAAGCCCACGTCCTTAAGTTTATCGCGTACCTCGCCACATACTGAACATCCTTTCTGCTTCTTGTGCGTTGCAAGAAGGGCCAACAGTCGCTTGCGAAGGCGATAAAATTCCGAGTAACGTTTGCACACGACCCACTTCTGCTTGTAATAGTCGCTAGTAATTTCCAAGTGATACACGTAATAGCTACCCGAGGCGCCACGAACCAGCACAGCCTGGCAGCCCATACCCAGCTGCGTCATGGTCTCCTGGTGGATACGGCGGATGAGCACGCGCTTAGCAGCTACGCCCTGGTCGGCGACGAGCCCGATGGGCACGTCCTGAAAGCGCTGCTGCCCTACAGACTTGGCAGGCAGGCGGTAATTCTCGGGCTGTGGAGCAAAGTTAGTGCCATAGAACGAGCTCATGTCATCCTCCACATTCTCCACGTCCTCCGAACCAGCATACGACACAGCAGCCGGGCGCTGCATTTGCTGGTTGTTCTTTGGCCGACCAGTGTCCTTGGCGTTGGGACTACTACTAAACATACTGATAATGTCGTCATTCGAGCGCGGACTGTCTTCCAGCTCGCTATCAAACCACTCGACGTTCTCGTTCATCATCTGCGCCATCGTTGCTTTTGACCTGTCAAAGTAAATATGGCAACTCGCTTTTTGCTGTCGTTAGACCTAAGAACGATGCGATCGCGCCTCTTACCGTCACGGAAAAAAGTCGCACATCGTGCGTCGTCGGATTGGGCAAAAGAAAATTGCAATATCAATACACGATTGGATAAAAAAACTTAAAATTAAAAACACAATCTCATACAAGATTCACGCAATATGCCTAACAAGAGGTGTTTGACATGCAAGACAGGCGACGATACGCATCACCAGAGCGCGGTGGAGAATACGGGCTGCGAGGAGACCTATCTGCGCGTTGATGGTAAGTTTTCGTAGAGCTACTTATTGCGAATGTTTTCTGGCATCTGTGTCTGCTAAGCTCTCGGCTGATGCCTGTCGTGGTGTGCTTTTGCTAGCCTGTATGAAGCTTAATAATGGCCGTGTCTCGGCTTGCATCGAAGTAAGTCGAGTTATAGATGTAGTGATAGCTAAAATATAACGCGCTCATTGGTGCAGGAGTGGAAGAAGTTCCGTCAGTGCCACGAACAAGGCAAGGCGGCGCACAAAAGCGTAGCAAGAAACAATTAGCCGTTACGGAAAGATGAATGACGACTTCGTCTTAAGATCCTTTATAACTCATTAAAAAGACGCTGCAGTTGAACATGCGTTATTGTGGACGGCGTGCTACGGTTGAATTAAATGCGCATCGGGCAAAAAGACACCATACCAGCAGATCCAGCACAGTGCGAATCGCATTGTCGTCAGCATCACAATGATAGCCACCACAAGCAGTGGATGTGGCTGTCACCTGAGCCAGCAGAGCATGCTGAGATCTGTCGCGTGCCGATGGATAGGCAACGTTAAAATTATGTAGGCGATAGACGGCACCGCTAGGACGCTGCCTCGTGATAGTCAAGAAAGTTCCAGCACCTGATCATCTACTTGTTCTGGCAAATGTCGCTCACCAACTAATGGACATCTCACATGCAATTCGAAGCACAATTTATTCGGTTCATTCGCAGGCAAGTTTTATTTGCAGTTTAGCCTGTACCTCACTGGTAGGCAGCGACATGATCTTGACGTAATCGCTGAATAGCAGTTTACCTTGATACTGCAAGGCGGCAACACGATGACAATGACCAAATGATAGAGGGCAGAGAGTTGTGACCTGACTTTAATGGCGCTGAATCGTTGTGTTGACATAAATTTTTGTCAAGGGTTGTAATAAATTATGTCTAACAGTCCCTAAGCCTGTTTAGCAACGCCAGTGCTCGATCGAGTCCGGTAATTTTACGGGACTAGCCACCTGCGATGACGCTATCGGCTATGCTGATGCAGCATAGCATATGTCCTTATAGGCCGCTCGGCGGCCCGTTTGTCTGAAATAAGATTGCGTGGCGCGGAGATTCTACCAGCCGATGAATTCCCCTGGTCTGCTGTTTGCACGACCGGTGACTGTGCGAATTGCATGCCCGATTCATGATCTTACCCAATTCGGCTTTCGCGAGGAAAGACTCTCGCCGTGTGGGGGGGGGCAAGGCATAAACTGGCCAATGCTTGATAGCGAAAATTTGGAAGTTAATTCTAAAAGAAAGTACTTAAGTAAATCTAATTGATAACGCTGGCTTTTCTATATAATATACATCCCTTACCATAACCTTCTAAACCTGAGATATCGCGGGAATCGGGACATCTGAATAGCCGAGCTGAGAGCGGACCGAATTGATCGCCAATGTGAAGCCTCTTTTAGACAACAACGTTTTTCAGTAAAGCTTAACTTGATTCGTGCGGCTTCAGCCTCCGAGTAGTCTATTATTGGATTATTGGTAGCGCTTCATTGCTGATGCGGATCCAAATACGATCCGATGCCTCCTTTAACGAAGATGACCCACCGTCGTGTTCATTGCGTTCAATGATACATGGCGCCGGGTTCCGTGTCCATTCCGACTGCGGAAGAATTTCGAGAAGGCAATGGCTGGCAAAGTTCATGGCACAGCTGAGACCGTTCGAATTCGTCCCGTTTCTGGTGAGCGTCTTTTCATTGATTAGCGTTCGTGTGAGCGGTTAGGGCACTCTGAAAAGGGTTGCGGCTGGGATGTCTTGCGTTCATGGGCGATGCTTTTTTACGACTGCCACTTGTAAATTTGTCTCGTAAAAGTCGCCGGTGACGACGACGTAGACGACGACAACATTAACGACGAAAAAAAGAACAGTTCGTAACTTTACACCAATTCGAGTTCCGTGCATTCTTGAAACTACTTGAAACGACGGAGGGCCCTACAGTAAACGCACAGACGTCAGCAGGATGATCGTGGTCTTTGGCAGCTCAAACGCCTTCGGACGCGACGTAAACGAAATGGAGATGATGGCAATGGCAGGGACGATCTTTGTGGTTTCTGTGCTGCTCGCTCTCGTGTACAAGCTGGCACGAGGCTGGGACGATATAGACAAGGCAGGTTTCGGTGCCAGCGTGCTACCACTGCATGCGCCTCGCGCGACGAACCGCTGGGTCAGCAGTCGCAAGACGCACTTTGGACGCCTCGGTACAATTCAGGAGAACGAGGTCTTTTCTTTCAGCTCCAAGATGCGGTAAACACAGCCACTGCATATTAAATACGGATACAACAGAACGAAGAAAAACAGCATTTGTCCTCCCTGGAGGCACACGACGCAGTGGCCGGCGCACGCGGTTGAAGTGTGGGCTGACCCATGTAATATCAGATGACAAGTATGTTTTAAGCCTTATTGGACAAGTATGGACGGCAAAGGCTGGCGGTTGGCCACGTAGGAAACCGCCATAGATATCATAGATGTGTTTGTAAGCCTCGTTTGGTTAAGTGTAGACGGCAAAGGCTGGCGGTTGACCACATAGAAAAACCGCCATAGATGTCATATTTAATAAGGATACTCACGTTTAGTCGGCCCAATGGTAGCTCGGTTAATCATTCTCGCCGGTTTATTGTGGTTGGTGCAGCCATTTGTCTGCGGCGTTTTCACGAGCGGCTTGCTGTCGCCGTCACCGAGTCTAGGATCGCAAATTTGCACACTACATCGAAGATCTAGCCGTCGACGCTGTGGAAGCGTCTGGTGGGACATTTGTGGTTCGCCATAAGCGGTAGAAACAGTCCCATCTTGGATCTGTCGTCGCTATTGCACTGCCATCTCGGATCTACCGTCGCCTATTGCGCTGCCATCTCATCATGTCGTCCGACAACAGGGTTGAGCAACCTACAGCTTAGAGAAAAGTAAGCACTGCCATGGGAGAAAAATACGCAATTAACCTATTTAGATTACTGTAGTACAAGATAAAATCATCGCAGCTAAGGTACGCCACCCCGTGCTGGCAGCTGAAGTAGCGCGCGAAGACTCTCTTTTGGCTGTGCCATGTTGCCGTAGCCCCTGAAGGCGCTGTCGTGGAAAGCGCCAAAGAACTTCGCCTTCTTCATCTCGGCTTCCACTATCCACCGGTTCACGGCCAGCATGGATACTTCCAGGAGCGTCAGCTGTAGGAGAATCAGCGTCACAACACAATGTCAACAAAAAGGCGTTAGTTACGAGTGTGGGAATAATTACAACAAAACGGTCAGCACGCTAGCATTTACCTGCTCCGTGGTCGACCCCAGTTGCTGTAGCGCCGAGCGCTGGAGGGCATTGATGCTCTGCGTGACCTTCAGCTCGCATGACAGCTCCTCCAGCTGGTCGTGTTCCCCAATCCTATTTTCTGCCTGGGTGGTGGCAGTATACGTCGCCAAGGAACCACTTGTTGCCTCGTTCAATGCGGACGACCTGTCTGCCTCAAGCGTTACCTTCATCGCTCGCCACTGTATTTCTTCATCTTCCAAGCTGCATGCAAAGCAAAAAAATGTATCAGGTACTGTAATTGTGGACTGACAACAAGCAGACCTACCTTTTGATCTGTTGCTCGTATGTCTCGATCGCGGCGCGCATTCGAGCATTTTCTGGGTTAGGGATCTGAATCTGCACATTAAAAAGGATGGTGAGCTACAGCGTTTCAAAACAAAAGCAAAAGATGTAGCTCGTACTGCCACGTTTCCCGGTGGGTGCTCCACCATGAAGGCGATTAGCTCTTGTTTCATTGCTTGCAAACTGGTCTCGCTGAGCTGCATAATATCCCGACGCGCCGCTGAAGTAAGAAATTCCTTCCTTACCTTGCGGAGTTCGCGCTTTACTTGCCGCTGCACCATGTGATAGAGAGAGATCTGATCGGCCGACAACTTCTTGTGCTTCATCTCCTCCTCGTTCAGCGCCTCTCGTGTCGCCTCCTCACGTTTCTTCTGGCGCACTAACCGCCGCATCTCAGCCCTTGCCGCCTTCTCCTGCTTGGCTCGTAACGCTGCTGATACCGCAGCTGCGTCAACAGTGTGTTGCTTGCCAACATCCTTCTCATCGTCTTTTCGTACGCGGAATACGAACGTGTTGTCCTTAGCAGGTGTCCCAGGTATCCTCTTCCCTACAGGTGTCGCCTCAGCAGGACCCTCGTTGGGCCCATTATCCTTTTTGTCACTGAATTTAAAGCCTCGCCGAGGTCTTCGCCCTACGTCACTGTCCAACAAACCAAGAAAGAAAAAAAACGATCAGTCCAAACAACTATACACACAATAATCCGATGTTGAAGCTAGCTAAACACACCTTGGAACGATTGCTTTTCGACGCCTTCGCTTCTCGCGTTGGACAACTAGTGAGGCGGACGGCACGGCGGTAGAAGGCGTCGCCATCATTATAACCTGAGCTGGCTAACTTTCGCGCTTTGTGTTCGTTTTTGAATGTTCAAACCACCCGATTGGTCAAAAGTAAAAAATAGCCGATTACTGATTAAAGTAATAATTGCAGATCTTATTTTATTGTAATTGTAACAATTAGAGTCAAAAGACACATACGATGCCTAACAAACAAGGCTTATCTACCACAACCCGCAAATGATAATCGACGATATTAAGCTCCGATCACTCACACCACCTTATCCTAAATGGATGCGTGTGGCGAAAGAAAGTGTAGCACGCCGATTTTGATGTTGTCGTGATGGTCTCGGCGATTCCCTGGTAGGACATTCTTCAGGTCTACAGATAGATATCGGCAATGCGCTCCAGTGCAGCCTCGTGCAGTAGTGCTTGGCTCACGTTCTGCACGTCCTGACTGTGTAACTGTCTAGCAACTGCACAATCTCTTTATTCTGCTGTTCATTAGAAGACCATCAGATCCTAGCACAACAAACTTTGCCGTTGAGGTCGGCCTGCAAAATGTCCTGTATGGCTACAAAATTTATAATTTTTTCGGATATTAGCCCAGCTTAAACAAGATTGTATAGAAAGCAATAACGTTTTCAACAATGTAAGTCGACGGAAGCTGCCACGAAAGCGCAGACGACGCGGCATCGGGGGAGCGGTTAACTTCCATTACCTTTATGTAGGGTAGACTCAAGAGATCTTGACATAAAAAAGAATTCGGCCCGACCTTGCACACAATGTCATGAAAAAGATACTTGAGCGCATTCGAGTACAACTTGTTGGTGCGCATGCACTCGCGCACCGCTCACAATACTCGGTGTGATTCTCCACTGTCGACGCTTGTACTGTATATGAATATATCGTGTACTATAGTCATGAAGAGTTGCGTCACGAGACGATTAAACGTTGCTGGTGCGTCAGAGAGCCCTTGAGGACTAACTAGCCATGCCCAGAAAATACCTCACAAAGTCAGCGAGATCGCTTCCTCGCATATGAGGAACCGGCAGTAACTATCGACCAAGTCGAGAAAGCTGAACGTAGTACAGCCCACCAGATCAACATTTCCGGATTTGCACTAAAATGTTGCAATTTTGGAACTGTACATGCTGCTAGCCACGTCCTCGTTGTAAACGGGCACTTCTTCGAAGTTGCCTCGTGCTACTAGCACACACCTTCAGCACAAGCGAGGAAGCGTTCAGACCGTCTTACCTTCGCGTGCGAGGGTGGTTGTGTGGTTGGTCGACTGCTTAAGCAGTCGTACCACCAGTTGCCTCTCGCTTAAGCGAGAGTGCAACGAACTTCTAAACAAGAAGTTACCGACGTCACGCAGAAGCTTTTCCAGCTTCTTGTGTGTGGTGCTTCGGTGTTAGCAAATTCAAGACTGAGCTATATTTTAATGAATTAGAATTAAATATAAAACCTAACTACTGATTGGCTATATATGTATATAGATCGGATACGCGACTCTTTAGAAGCGTATCCTGACGCATGAACTCGAATCTAGATTTAAGCTTGCGAATGACGTCCTTCGGAGACGTCGCGATGCCTAGCTTCAACTAGCGTCATCCCTTCCCATGTGAATCCATAAGTGGATATTACATTCACGAGGGTGGATCACGTTTGTGTATCGCACCCAAGTGACAGGTCAAAAGTAATCATGAATACTTTTAAAACCAAACATTAAGTATATTATATAATGTTTGCGTGTAACTAGATGCCCTGTTACACTCGTTCGATGAAAAATTGTAAGGTGCATATGCGTATATTAAGCTTAGTAGCATGCTTGACATAGCAGTATTCATTATTGGCGATAACAGCGCCGATTCTCTCGGAATTTAGAGTACTGGTTATGTTGATAACACTGATATTGTTTCCGCTCTGAAGGTTAGCGAAATTGGCCTATTTATGACGAGGTGGGTGCTCGGATTTTGTGCCCAAACGGAAATGTTTGCTAGATGAAAGACGGTAAGACGAAAAAAAATTGTTGTCTCACTTTGTTTGGTCTGGAGGTTTTGCTCGCCATGAAGGATGGTAAGCCGAATTTCATCTTACTTTACACTTTTCTCCAAGCTCAACGTCCAAGCATCAGGGATAGTTACCATGTCTAGTGCAGCCCGGCTTTTCTGTGCGCTAATTGTTATCGCGCTAGTCATTTGCTCAGCTACAACCGTGGCAACGCCCAAGTCGACTCTTGTGGGTGTCGCAATGAATACGCTGCATTCATCTCATTCCCCGGCCGTGATCACGCGGCGCTTAAGGAGTTTCGAAACAGGTGTGCGCCGGAGCATGAAAGGCTGATATGGCCCTCACTTCTACCGCTCTCTCCATGTCATCTTCGAGGACATCGTAAAGTTGTGCTCGACCTAAAAGTCGTCTCAGCACCTGAGTATTATGTCTGCCGGGCGGCGAGACGAAAGATCGGTCAAGTCGAGGCACCAATGTGCATTTAAATTCCCGCATACGAACAAGGGTCCGTCTTGTTCTAGCAGGTGATGTCGAAGCATCTCGAAAAACCCCTCCCGTTCAGTATTGCATATACGTTGACAACGAGAAAGGTTCCACTTCAAATAGTAATTCGAACAGCGATATAGTGCGGTGACCAAAGTGTCTTATGCCACAACTCCATTTAGGAAATCGACGATTACGAATTTAGTAAATCGCAACCCCTTCACGCGATGCTTCGAACTCGGTCCATCGAGTCTGTCCAGTCTTGTCCACGAAGCCCAATGTACTGTTGTACAACTTTCTCTGACTTGCAGCTTTACAAACAGATACCCGCGTTTCTTGCTTTTGTTAAAAGTCGATGAATTCTCGCGATTCGCGCTGCCTTCAATGGCCAGAGTATCATGCACAGTGTTTCGGATGCTTAGAAAATCTCGCGACTTCTGCGAATACATACCGATGCTGTTGTAGCGTGGCCTTTGAGAAGTCTTTAACATACCCCAGCGAAAACTCCGGAGTGTATCTGCCTTTGGAAAGTGAACATTAGAAGACTCAACCCTGTCTAGAGACCTAAGTCGCCCTACAGAATACGGAAAAGAGGGACTGGGATCCGCACCCCCTGACGAATTAGCCCCTTGCGCAGTCAAGGTGCTCTCAGTACTAGTGTCCAGCGCTTGACCATCGCTACAAATAAGATCAATCCCCGGCTGCCACTTGGCAGGTTTGCATATAATGATGACGACAGCCGCGCGCTACGTTTTAGAGAGGTGGTATAATGCCGCTTTGTACTGTGGCATCACCACCTACGTCTCATTCTCGACAAGTGCAAGATGAGGCATTAATACACACAGGACATAGAAGTAGCCCCATTGATCCAAGTCCGGAAGCGATTTCATGACAGTCGCATACAGTAACACCGGCTGTAATTTGCTGAATTTTCTTCAACGCTTTATGTTCCCCGTCATCTTCCATCATATTTGTCCAGACTAACCGTATTCCGTTGCATCCTAACCAGTACACAGCTCTCGAAGCTTCTCATCAGCGCCTGTGGTATGTTGACGTATCACAGACAGTTAAAACAGCCGTTTAAAAAAATGTTTAAAGCTCGAAAAACTTCTTTTGGCTTTGAGGCGAGGTAATCAATTGAATGGGGCAGCTCACTAATAATTGTCGCCAATTCTAACGCACACGAATTGGCCCATGCGAACAGGACCTTTGACCAACTGGCAGTGTAGCACGTACCACGGTTACCATTTTGCGCTAAGATAAACATCTACGAATTGCAGCAGTGTTCGCCAAAGTTTATCTTTTTCCCTCTGGCACTAAGGCAGTCGCTACCGATGCGGTGTCAGGAACCATGTGCACTCTAGTAGCACATAACGTCTTATCTTAAGTATCTTGAGTGCGGATTAGGTCCATCGGAGATCTACGTGCCACCTGTGTACTCGATACCTAATCAGAGCCAATGGGTTTTGTCAACAGATCATAAGCGCCCATGGACCGGTCAGCTATAGTTTCCCTGGGAAGCCTTGAGCTCATCTTATATAGCTATGAGTAGCTACGCTGGTATAGGAACACTGTCGGCACATGGGGGGTGTAGCGGAGCTGCACAGCTCTTTGGCCAGAGGAAGACTTTAGGCTGAAAGCCTTTTAGTTCTAGAGAATTAAATAAATTTACGGTTAAAAGCCACTTAGTTCTAAGGAACTAATTAAACGACTTTAAAGCCGCCCGCTTCTAAGAAAGTAGGAGAGAGACTTTTAGTCAATAAAGCAATAAGCTAAGGTTCAGAGAACCAGCGCACAGAGTGCAAGAACAAGCTAGAAGCTGGGAGGTTCAGAGAATCAACGCACGAAGTGCACAAGAGAACAAGTCAGAGAGATTTGCGATCTTAAACTCAAAATGAGAACTGATTTTATATATGCTTTAAGATTTTATGAATAGTCCTACTCTAAGTACCCTACTCTAGATTAATTGTTGTAATAGTAATTATAATATGCCGACTTTGTTATTGGACGACGTATCGTCTAATCATCTGTGTATGATGTACTTAGTACAGCGTTATCGATTATCGAAATCCTAATCGATAGGATACGGTATTACTAAATACCGTATCTTTAACGCTTATACTTAATACCTCTCAAAAGAGAAGTATTAAAATTCATTATATGCAATACAAGAGGACTTCGACCGTAACCTTTCGGAATGATGTGACAACCGTCGTGTAACCCCGTTACATGTATGCTAATAAAGATGTGCTATATTATACAGCGCTAGCCTTCTCTTGGAAGCACTCCCATTTGTCGTCTCACTGAGCGTGCGTGCGTGCGTGAGGATGAGCCTGTTGGAAATTGCATGATGAGACTAGGCACTACGTTTACCTAGGAAAAGAGTTTCGAGGCAGTGTCATCAGGTTGTTATGTAATCGACGATATGGAACGCTGTGGAGGTGGCTACCAATACAGTTATTAAAAGCAAAGTGGTAATGGTTAATATATCTAAGTCTTTAACTTTCCTCAAGAAGCCACAACTCAATTGGCACGTTCTGTTTGGG